TTATGAAATTCACTATCAAAGGCATTCAATACAAGCTGCAAAGGCTGACTTCAGGGGAAGTATCTCTCATAACGGACAAACAGGCTGCTCGAGCACCAGTTTCTAACAAGGCTCTTTATACACTGCTTGTGTGCACCACTTTTCCTCAATGTTTCGTAATTGATAGACAGCCTTCTTCAGTGTCATATTTGCCGCAGGATTTACAAGCTTTATTGCAGCAAAATGCTAAGATTTTTGATGTTCCAACAGGCTTACCCCTTAGTCGAGCTCATGACCATCAAATTCCATTGAAAGACGAGTCCCAAGTCGTTAAAATCAGGCCTTACCGCTATCTTGCTGTTCAGAAGGATATTTTAGAAAAAATGGTGGCTGAAATGAAAGCAACAGGCATTATTAAAGATAGTACCAGCTCTTTTGCTTCTCCAGTTGTTTTGGTCAAAAAGAAAGATGGCTCCTGGAGGTTTTGTGTAGACTATAGACAACTCAATAATCTCACATTGAAGGATAGATTTCCAATTCCCTTGGTGGAGGAGCTTTTGGATGAGTTGACTGGTTCACAGTGGTTTTCTAAGCTCGATTTAAGGTCAGGTTACCACCAGATACGAATGGCTGACAAGGACGTTCACAAAACAGCTTTCAGAACACACCATGGGCACTTTGAATTCATGGTTATGCCTTTTGGACTAACCAATGCCCCTTCCACTTTCCAAAGCTTAATGAACAGCATTTTTCAGCCGTATCTCAGGTAATTTGTACTTGTATTCTTCGATGACATGCTTATTTACTCTAAGAATTGGTCTTCTCACTTAGTGCATCTTCAGAAAGTTTTTGAACTGCTTCTTCAATATCAATTGTATGTGAAGCTCTCTAAGTGTGACTTTGCAGCTTCGAAAGTGGAGTATTTGGGACATGTTATATCTAGAGAGGGCGTATCTATGGATGAGACAAAGATTAAAAGCATACTTCAATGGCCAATACCTAAAACCCTTAAAGAGTTGAGGGGATTTTTGGGACTCACTGGTTATTATAGGCGCTTTATCAAAGGCTATGGGTCAATTGCACAACCCCTTACTGCCTTGCTCAAGAAGAACAACTTCACCTGGACTGCGGATGCCACTGTTGCCTTTACTAAACTCAAACAAGCCATGGTTTCTGCTCCTGTGTTAGCTATGCCAAACTTTGAGGAAACTTTTGTTCTCGAGTCTGATGCTTCAGGAACTGGTATTGGTGCTGTATTATCTCAAGGAGGACGTCCCATTGCTTATTTCAGTCGGGCTCTTTCCCCTAGACACCAATTACTGTCAGTTTATGAGAAGGAGATGATGGCCATCCTGGCAACTGTTAAGAGATGATCTGCTTACTTAATTGGTCGACACTTTCAAATCAAGACAGATCATGAAAGCTTAAAATATCTTCTAGACCAGTCAACGGCCACCCCTGCACAACATAAATGGTTAGTTCAAATGATGGTGTATGATTTCGAACTTACCTATAGAAAAGGAAAAACTAATGTTGCTGCAGATGCTTTATCGAGGTAGCCGGGAGCTCAATTGTGTGCCCTTTCAGCTGTCCATACTGACTTGACAGCCAGAATTAAACAATCTTGGGCTCAAGACCCTACTGTCACCAAATTGATGCAGAAAGCCAAGATTAACCCATCTTCTACTGCCAAGTATACATGGCATCAAGATCAGGTTAGGAGAAAAGGAAAGCTGGTAGTCGGTAATGATGTTCAGCTTAAAAAGGATATTCTCGAGTATTTTCATAGCTCCCCTGCAGCCGGCCACTCATGAATGGATGCTACGGTGAGAAGGCTTGCGAGTGTAGTCTATTGGAAATGACTTAAGAGGGATGCTAGACAGTTTGTATGTACGGGAATGCACTACTTGTCAACAAAATAAATCTGAAAATGTTGCAAGTCCAGGGTTAATGCAGCCCCTGCCTATCCCTACTAAGGTATGGATTGATATTTCTATGGATTTTATTTCGGGCCTTCCTAAATCTCATGGCAAAGATGTTATAATGGTGGTAGTTGATAGGCTTAGCAAGTATGCACATTTCATTCCTCTCTCTCACCCTTATACTGCTGTGATTGTGGCTCAAGCATATATGGATAATGTGTATAAATTGCATGGCATGCCCGAGACTGTTGTTTCTGACAGGGACCAAGTATTCTTGAGCTCGTTCTGGAAAGAACTCTTCATATTGCTAGGAGCTAAACTGCATATGTCAACTTCATACCACCCACAAACAGATGGGCAAACTGAGGTTACTAACAGAAGCTTGGAAACATATTTGCGTTGCTTTTCTGGTGAACATCCCTCTGATTGGGTTAAGTGGCTTCCTACAGCTGAGTTCTGGTACAATACTCACTTCCACTCTTCTGCAAAAGCCACTCCTTATGAGATTCTCTATGGACAACCACCGCCCGTTCACATGCCTTATATTCCTGGTGAGTCTAGAGTGGATGTTGTGGATCGGAGTTTGAAGGCAAGGGAAGATACTATACAGGTGCTTAAGTTTCATTTACACAGGTCTCAACATAGGATGAAGCAGTTGGCTGACAAGAAAAGAACTGATCGAAATTTTGAAGTTGGTGACTTAGTTTATCTCAAACTGCAGCCATACAGACAAATTTCAGTGTTGCGCAGGCCCAACATGAAGCTGGCTGCAAGATTTTTTGGTCCGTACCCCGTGGTTAAGAAGATTGGAGAGGTTGCTTATGAACTAGCCTTGCCTTGTGGCTCTAAAATACACCCAGTTTTTCATGTAAGTCAAATAAAAAAACACATTGGTAAGGCCCCTGCTCATGCTCAACTACCTGTCTTAGACTCTCATGGGATCATAGCTAGAGAACCTACTGCCATTTTGGAGAGAAGAATGGTTAAACGTCGTGGTAGAGCTGTGACTGAAGCGTTGGTGTTGTGGAGTAATAGCTTCCCTGAAGATGCAACCTGGGAGTGTCTTTTTGACCTTCAGAAAAAATTCCCCGACTTTGATTCTTGAGGACAAGAATTCTCTCATGGGGAGGGTATTGATACACGCCTGGGCCACTATACCAAGCCCATTTACTTTTGCAATTACTTAGCCCATTTCTATTAGAATCATTTGCTGTTGCGTTAAAAGACAATATTCCTTCAGTTGTAAAGCAAGCAGACAAATATATGAAAAATCCCTAATTTCTTCTCTCTCTAATTTCTCTTTTCATATCTGCTTCATTCCCTTTCACGTGCATCAAAACTCTACCGAAAATTGAAGCCTATGGAACCCGAAACCCAAGTTTCAAAATCCGGCGAAAGTAGCAGGTGAAAGGCCACCAAATTCCGGCGCCAAACTTCTCTTATCCATCCAAAAGAAACCCCTAGGACAATTTTGACAAAACAAAACCTAAAATCTGAAAGCCCCAAATCGGTTCAAAGTTCTAATAGTAAGTTCCCTTAACCCTATATTTTCTTTGTTTTTCCTTTTTAATTTCATATTTCTTTCGAGATTTTGAACAAATTCAATTAATGGGTTTTTCTCATATTTGGGTTTTTGTTTTGTTATGACAGATGTTGAAAAATTCTATCACCAGTGTGATCTTGGTGGGTTTTTGCTCTTCTATTCTTCTGTAATCTATTTTTTTTTTCATATTGATATTCGAGTTGCAGCGTTGACTGTGTCTGTTTTCTCAGGTCACTACAGTGATTAGAACGATACACAAGGATATGAAGACTTTTTTGCCAATCGAATGAATCTTGCATGTAAGTTGTTCACACCCGAATGTATATCTGTTAAGTGTCTTCAAATCTTAGACTTCATATGACAGACATCCATGTATATTTAAGATAAGAAACTGAATATAGATTCTCTTGCAATGTGTAAACACATATATGCACTTCTTTAGAATTTCCCTGTGATATAGATGATAAACTATTACAACATTGTCTGTTTTCTATTCTAATATTATTATCTAATAGAACTGTGATATATTCAGATTTAATGTCACTTAGGTTGAGTAGTTGCTCTATGAACATCTCTTGTGGTTGAAAACAACAATATTACTGGTAACAATATCAATTGAGAACTTAGGCTCCTTGTATATTAGTAACTTGAAAAGCTTTTTCATTACTTGAAGCAAGCAATTATCAGGGAAAATAAGTTTGAAGGAGAGACTATATTTCTGCAAGCATTCAGATATAGTCTTACAAGTAATAATTAGGCTTGAAACTTAGTTTTTTTTTTATAATAGATTATCGTTTAGACTATGGTATAGATATGATTGATGTTTGTGAGTACTGTAAGCACATGTGATCAATGTTGTTTCCAGAGTTGATTGTACATATATTTTTCTTGGAGAGGGTATTTCTATTTCCTTGGATTTGGCCAGTTTTGAGGTATGATTTCTAGTAATTGTAATAACATTTAACTTGAGCAGTTTCTTTCCATAGAAATCTTGAAGTATCATGTAGTAAATTCTTTATAGATTTATGGTTGATATCCTAGTAAAGTGAAGGTATTTTATTTCAATGATTGAAATATGACTTTTTCTCTATGAATTTTTCTACAGGAGTTTATATCTTCTCTCTCATTTTTAGTTATCCTTTACAAGGTTGGGAGAGCCATTTCAACAATGGTATGTTTCCTTCAATTATTTACTCCAAATTAATTCTTGAAGTGATTAAATTGACAGATGTGGATAAGAAATTAGTATGAAGAAGTAAGTCAAGAAGGGAAGTGCCTGTACTGCATTCATTGGGAGATGGGGTAAGAAAATATCCATTTCATATTTAACGTTCCACCTTCCTTTCTATTTCCAATTATGAGTTTGATATATCTTCTGGAGATTGATTTGTTATAGTCAACGTCTTCAGTTATTGAGTTGTTTGCTAATTTCTTGATTTCTTGCTTTATATTCACATAAAGAGCATCTATTCTTTTTGGAGAAGCAAAAAGGGACATTGGTTGAGATATTTAGCATCAGGTATACAATAAAAGAAAATGATTTATAATAAACAGTAAGAAACATTTTTTTAGTATGCAGTTAAATTTTGTTCAGTTTATACATATGTTAAAACTTAAGGCTGTCTAAAATCATTTGCGATGTTAATTTTGATTTAATATTTTTATCCATATTAATTTGCAACATTGTATAATCTTATTTTTTTTTGGTTTCCTTATAGATGGCTCCAACTAAAGGAAAAACAGAGTCGTAACATGTCATTGAACGTGACTCAAGTTGGAGGGGGCACTACGTGACTTAAGTTGAATGTATTAAGCTAGGTTAAATGTATTAACTATTAAGTACATTTCTCGGATTTAGTTTTAATGTTTTTTTTTGGGCCAGAAGTTTCAATGTATTAAGTACATTAATTAATATATATAATATATATTTATATTAGACATTTTTATTTGCATGATATTTACAATTATATTATATAATCATTATAAATAATATAATTTGAATCTGTAATAATCATAATTTTATAAATAATTTTCATTTTGGAAATAATATGAAAAAGAATTACATAAATGATATATCGGGAACGACATTAGGCACAATCAGAAATGGATCCCATCTTAAAGGAACGAGTAATGTCCATTCCTGTCCGTGCCTAAAGTTCAGGAATGGCACAACCCCCTGCCTGAAGTTTAGGCACCAGGCATATTGGAGCAGATGAGAATTCCTTCCTATACCATGCCTAAACAATATAGGCACGATTTTTGGCCATATATTCGTGCCTGAGTGTTGTGCCTATATGGTGTTTTTCTTGTAGTGTAAAATTACGTCACATAATTTAAGGAAGCTTAAGGAAACAGAAAAATGCTAATATTAGATAAAAAAGACTGAGCCAGTCAGCTCAGCAACCTACATTAATTGAACAATATTGACACCATTAATTTTGATAGGTTGAGATTTGAAAATTCTAATGGTTGTTGCTTACCCAAGAAGTCAACATATAAAAGTATTTTCAATTCAATTCCTTGGTTAATTAGGTTGAGATTATATTAAAAGAAAAAGAAGAAGAAGAAGAAGAAGAAGAGAAAAAAAGAAAATTAGGCATGGGTGTAGAGTTGAATACGAATGTTGGTGTGGTATCATTATTAGTTATACTTTGGTCAATCTATACAGCTGAGTCTACTTTTATTGATGTAGTTTCCAACTATGGCGCAAAGCCTGACGGAATTTCAGATTTGAGAGCGTAAATATGATTTCCCAAGGATTAAATGCTAAAGTTTTGCGTTTTTAATTATAATTTGTTTAGTTTGTAATTGTAATTAATAATTTGCAGCCATTGTTGTATGCTTGGAGAGAAGCATGCAAGTCGATAACTCCAACCACAATATTAATTCCGAAAGGAAACTACAGGTTAAGCCAAGCAAGCATGGAAGGCCCATGCATGTCTGCCATCGATGTTCAGGTTCAGGGTTATATACAGGCTCCCATGAACGCTAGCTATTTCAAGGACTCCTACTGGGTTGTGTTCAAGTACGTTAGTGATCTTACGGTCTCTGGCGGTGGCGTTTTTGATGGCCAAGGCGCCGCTTCTTGGGGCAACAGCGAATGCTTTAGGACCAAATTTTGTGCCGTACACCCTATTGTACGTAAGACCAATTTTATAATTTTTTTTATTATAAATGGTGATCGTGTTGATTTGAAAAAAAAAAAAACTCTGTTTACAGAATTTAAGGTTCGATTACCTCAACAACTCTGTCATACAAGACATAACTTCCAAAGACAGCAAGCAGTTCCATGTTAATGTTTTAGGATGCCGAAACATTACATTCCAACGTTTCACAGTGTCGGCACCGGAATTAAGCACAAACACGGATGGAATCCACATAGGACGATCGGATTTGGTCAGAATTCTGGACTCAAGAATTGAAACCGGTGACGATTGTGTGTCCTTGGGCGACGGTAGCAAGAACGTGTATATTGAGAGAGTAATGTGCGGACCAGGGCATGGAATCAGTGTGGGCAGTCTTGGATTCTTTCAAGGTGAAGAAGACGTAATTGGAGTTTTCGTCAGGAATTGCACCCTCACCAATACTCCAAATGGTGTTAGAATCAAAACCTGGCCAGCTTCCCATCCTGGCAGAGCATTAGATATGCATTTTGAGGATATCATAATGAATAATGTCAGTTTCCCTATCATCATTGATCAAGAATACTGCCCATGGAATCAATGCAATCTAAAGGTACATGTCATATATATAGTCAAAGGTGTTTGATAATATATATAGTTGATCCATCTACTTATTAATATATATAATAATTAATGATCTTTTTTTTTTGGTTCAACTACAATATTTGCTTGCTAGGCTCCATCCAATGTTCAGCTCAACACAATTAGCTTCAAGAACATTCGAGGAACTTCTGCAAGTCGCGAAGTTGTAAGGCTTGTTTGTAGCAAGGGATTTCCATGCCAGGGGGTGGAACTTGCTGACATTAATCTTATATACCAAGGACTTGACGGACCAGGAATATCAGATTGTGCCAATGTTGCCCCCATACTGTCCGGAACTTTGAACCCAATTCCCTGTACAGCCACCTTCACGCGTATTGCTTAAATTCCCTTACACTATATGTTTGGTAGCACGCAAGTAGGGAGGAAAGAAAGTGGGAGCGAAATGTAATTTTCTTTTGTTTTGTAGGAAGGAAATACAACAAAGGGAGGAAATACAATTAGTAGGCTTATTTTTTTTAGGATCCTTTCCTCCAAACATTAGGAGGAAAGTCCCATTTTCTTGGCTTGTAGCTTAAATTAGTCATTTATTTACAATTTTGCAATTTAATAAATTAATTTCCTTCTATTTTCCATCATTTATACCAAACAATGAAAGGGAAGTGTAATTTCTTTTCTCTTCCTTCCTATTTCCTAATTTCTTTCCATATTTTATTTTCTTTCCATGCAATTTCTTTCATTCCTACCGAACAATATATATAGCGTTAATCTTTGAAAAATGTCTTAAAAAGGACTCAATCACATCACTCTATATTGGTGGAGTCTGTACACCCAATGATT